CTCTACTCTCTCTCTCTCTCTCTCTCTCTCTCTCTCTCTCTCTCTCTCTCTCTCTCTCTCTCTCTCTCTTCTCTCTCTCTCTCTCTTTCTCTCTCTGTCTTTCTGTCTCTGTCTCGCTCTCTGGGTGTCTCACGTCCTACCGTATATACGTATGAATACGCCCCCATACCTCTCTTTGACATTTCACTCCGTATCCTTGCTTATCGATCGGTATCGAGTGAGCTTCGTGAAATTCGGTTTGCGATTACGCGATTCGTGAAGCGACACAAACGCTAACATGAAACAAAGAATACGCCTGCCTTTGTTCGAGGAGCATTGTTTTGTCGGTATCATTAGCACTATTCACACGAGTGTTATCCTGACAATGACAGATTCATGTTTCTTCGCTGTCGCTGTGTGTCACTATCTCTGTTATCTCTGTTATCTCTGTTATCTATCATTTTCTTCCTCTCTCTATTTCTATCTCTCTTCATACATATCTCTCCATTTATCTTTTACATTTCCTCTATCTTCGCCAACGCAATACGCTTCTTGTGCTGGCAACGTTATAATAATTGTGAAAGGAAGCAATTATTTATGGTGAGGGATTGATGATGAGTAGCAACGACGCTTCATATTATTGTCGCTATTGCTGTTACATGGGGTGCAGTCCATTTGGTGCTACAAATGCCTCGAAGTGTTTGATTGATCAATTAAAGCAAAGAATCTTATGAATTGACTAATCAAAAAGTGCTTTGAAGCATTTGTGACATCAAGTAGACCGCACCCATCATGGTAACTAGCTGTTGTCGATAGCTGTTTTAGATATCCGTGTTCCATTCGAAATCCCGGCTCTTTTCATAATTTCGTCCGTAATGCGTTTTATTCGTTGGACAATTTTAGTGTTTGTTTCAAAACAATATTATCTGAATTCGAAAAAAAATTCATCTTTGGATAATTGCTAATTGTTGTTATTAATTACATTAAGTTGTTCTTATATCATCGTAACACAATTACGAATTGTATTAATTTTTTTCTACTCTATCTTTGGTTGCCAGTCGCACATACATATATGTACATGAATATATTATTATGATTCGCGTGACGTTCTTTCCTTCTCTCTCTAAAGCTGAGAAATTAAAGTGTGCTTTCTTGGCTGCCGACGTCTCAGAAAAAATAATTAACAAATAATTTGTTATATACGTATGTATAAAATAATATCTCAAGAAATTCATGCAGACAGAAAATCTGCATTTATAGAAAAAAAACATACAAATAAAATGCAGCATAAATGTTGTGTTACGAGATAGCAAGATGGCAGCGGCCGATTTCGTTGCTCGTTTACAAGCAAATCTTTTCTGGTAAGATGTAGAGAGAGACACGAAATCCTTACGCACTAGCTAGCTCGCTGCACACGCACATTCACACACCCACACCATACACCACACACACACACACACACACACACACACACACACACACACACACACACACACACACACACACACACACACACACACACACACGCACGCACGCACACGCACACACGCACGCACGCACGCACGCACGCACGCATAAATATATACTATCGCTTCGACATATGTACAATCAAGAACCAGTTTTTCGGTAGATGTTATAGCTTATTTATTTTATAAAATTAAAATAACATCCTAAAATTAATAACGAAATAAAGAAATAAAATAAAAGAATAAAAACAAAATATTTAGTCTTGATTTTCTGTTACGGAAAAACTGGATCTTTATATACCAAGATAATGTATACGATATTTTTAGAACACCTTGTTTTGCTAACTTACATATTTTCTTTACGTCAAAAATTTGCTTTTCAGATATGTGAACGTATATCATCGTAATGACGCAACCTCGATAAAGATTATATGAACATTTTATACTCACAGGCGTTTCAATATTGCTTCTGTCAAGTAAAATTATGTATCTTTTTAAATCTGAATCGAATATGTGTTTACACATACATATACGCAGAGTAAAATTTAAAATATATAAAATAAAATATATATAAAATTAGTATAAAATTTATAAAATTTTTATAAAATTTATTTTCATTAATTTGTAACAATAACTTCGAGAACGGATCATATTTCAATCAAATGTAAATGTAAGATCAAAAACGAGCAAGTTTATGATGTCAATTTGAGTATTATAAATGAACACGTATATTTCTTAATAAAAGCTAATATATCACTATAACGATATGTTTTACCTGTAATATGTAATATGTAATATGTTTGTTCCTATATGTTTGTTTATTTTTAATTTCTACTATCTTTATATATATTTTTAATTTATTTATTATTGATCATATTACCATAATATGGTTGATGAAGACTGAACAAATATTCGAAACCGGTTTTTTATATCATACACAAATATACATATTTATAATACTTATCTGTAATCTATGTCTTTAAAATTATATCAGAATCACTCGTTCTTGATCTTATTTTTATTTATACTAATTTGTAAATTATTTATGATTAATTTTTTAATCAAACATTTTTAATGTCTGCGATGCTATTTTTCTATGTTCAACTAAACTTGTCATGCATGAATTATCATTTTACATGTTACGTACTACACAATTGCAGCAGAAATACTTTGTAGCAAGTCTAGTGTCTTTTTTTTTTTTTTATAAAATTAGCATGTATCTAAGAGATATAATCATAAGTTTTTTGTTTCGAGAAATATAAAAAAACGCATACTTCTTTAGTAACTAATTGACCTGTACAATCGTATCTCTATTGTCATCATTTACTTTCATATGAATGCACTGTTATTTTTACTTTCATTCTCATGTTTATTCACATTTTTGTTTACTCAATTTATAGCACAACTTAATAAGCACAACCTAATAAGCTTCCACTCCCACCGCTTCATCAACTATTTATCGCGCCATTGAAGGTATCGCAAGAATATTTATTATCTCGCACTTAGAAATTACAATTTTAGATATAGCTTGACTTAGAGATTACCCGCTATAATGTATCAAATTTTTTACTTTCTTTTTTTCCCTGTCTCTTTCTCTCTCCCCCTCTCTCTCTTAATATTACATTTCTTCTGGCATTACATTTCTCCTAGAAAGTAGGATTGTTATAGGATACAATTGTTTTTTTTATGACGTAGTTTTTCTTTTCGCATAGGTTCCCGTCGTCCGAGCTTAGCGTCGGTTCACAGTTCTACGTCCTCGTCACGTAGCTACAGCGCGCGTCGGCTCGAAAAGGAGAGAAATGAGAAGGAACAGCGCCAAGCGCTTCAGGAGCTCCGACTGGCGAAGCAGCGGGAGCAATTGCAGCAACAGCAGCAACAGGTGGTACCGACGCCTAGCCCTAGGACTCCTCATTCCACAGACGAATTGCTGCCTTCGGTCGAAGAGGGGAAGGAAGACTTTTACAACGAGGTAAGTCATCTCTGACGAGATGCCAACATCTGTTATCATCGTTTATCATCATCAGCGGTGATTCAACGCTGAGGAAATAAATGAGCTTTATTACTGGACTTATCACTCGCATTTTACGATTTGAATTTGCTGATGTATGTCTAACATTGAAAAGCATATTGCGACACTGTTGAATTTCTGTCACACTGTATATTTATCTGTCAATTCGTCATATCCTTGAAAATCTTTGAGGTGCAGTAGACTGCACTGCTCTTTAGTAATTAGTATTGAAAAATGAATCGATTGGTGATTGAGTTTTAAGAATTGCAAGAGTTAATTACATTTACAGCAGGTACCGACGACATCAAACGTATCGGACACCATCCCAATGACGACGACGACGACGACGACGACGACGACGACGACGACAACATTAACAACGGCGATAACCACTTCCAACGTAAGCACAACCCGCATAGGCGAGACTGCGCCTATAGCAACGCCAACGACGTCTGTTTTCGGCACGAGCGTTGCACCACGGGCTTCCGATGACATTTTTCAAGTGTAGTCTTCGTCAAGTATGACAACGTCGTCAAGTATGACAAAATCGATGGACTCTCAATTTATTAACGATCTTTTTATTGTATTTGCAAGAACGCTCCAACGGTATCAAGTTGGAGATCCGTATGTAAAAGACGCGGCAAGACTTGCGATAAAATACTCTGATATCAATAGAGATAAATGCATAAATACCGAGAATAATCTAAATCCATATTTTGTCCACGTTAAAAAGTCAATTCTTGCAACACAGAAACATTTATGTGCGAAGAATGGTTTTCTCCCTAGATATTAATTATATGAAATTTTCACAATTTTCTAAGTCTCTCTCTCTCTCTCTCTCTCTCTCTCTCTCTCTCTCTCTCTTCTTCCTTTATTTATATTTTTGTTTTAGCTTAAAAAATATAAATGCAAATTTAGATTTATTATATTTATTATATTAAAATTATTATACATTTATTTTTCAATTTAAAATATTACAATATATAAACTAATAATAATTAATATATATTTAATCCAAATTAATCCGTAATTAAGAAATTTTTAATTTAACTTCGTTTTTTTCGCATAACACAATATTGAAAATCGATGATTACATAGCTGGCTTTATAATGTGGACAAAGTATTAATACAAATACGAGACACTTTCTGAATGAATGTACTTGGGCACAAGTGTACTTAAACGAGTTAGAAGGGAGACATAACGTATTTTTACTCGATACTTGCACTTGTACAGATAAGCATTTACGAATGCGACTGAAAAGAAAGGACAAAGTTTAATATCAGCATTAATTAAGCAGTGTCATGGAAGAATAACAATTCTTCTCTTTTGAATGTCTTGATAGGTACTGATAAAAATATTGTATGAAGTGCTTGTATCTATATTTGAGTGCGAGAAGAATGCATTTACGCTTAATGTGCAAGAATTCGAAATTGGATGGAATATTTCAAAATAAATTGAGAGAAAAAAAGCGTTTCAATGCTTTAAAACAATAAAAAACTAAGAAATCGTAAATACCGGCTAAATAAAGAAATTTCTTTGATAAGTTAAGTGTCCCAGTAATAAGTCACTTTTATTTTTTAAATTAGTTTATTAAAGAATTAAATTATTAAAGGAGAAACACTTATACACTCATTATATATTATTATTATTATATTTTATTATTATACTTATTATTATATTATTATATATATCTTACATATTATTATTGTCATTATATATTGTTAGAAATTATTATGTTGTATACATAGTACAACAAAATAATTTCCAACGGAAATAAACATGTCACTTTAAGAGTTAGGACTCAAAGAACAAATATCGAGAAATATCGAGTTTTTCTAGTTATTTTAAATATATCTTTTTATAAAAAATACTTATATATTTAATCATATCGAATTTATATTTGACACTTAACTCACAATACTTTAATTATAATAACTTTGACGAATATCTCGAACAGATACCATAATCTTGACTTAGATATTGACTTTGGTATAGTCTTGACTCCAGCAATGACTTCATTTACCATCAATAATGGTTTATATAGAGCGCGTTTTTGAAATTCAGTCGGGGCTTTGACACCTCAGTAAAGTAAATCAATTAAATTGCTATGTCTTAATTAAATGCGCGCAGTTGATGGCCGAACACATTTGTGACTTCCGTGATTTTGCATTTTCGCAATCATTCGGAAGACTGATCAGAAGACGATTTTTTAGCGTTTTCATAGTCTTTCGAAAGATAGATCATGATTTTCGCGATCTTTCAAAAAACTCCGCATTTCATAAATTTTCGACTACACGTGATTGTTGCTACACGACTTGTCGCTACGTACTTTCATATTGTTTGTATTCGAACTACAATAACTCATGTCGTTTATCAGTAAGATATCATATCTTTTATTCTAATATTACAAAAAATTTAAAAGAAGAATTATTAATCGTAATGTTTATTGTTTAATATTTAGCAAAAATAGTAAGAAAAACCATATATATTAGTATATATATATATTAGTTGAGTGGAAATTTTAGTATTTTTTTGTCAAAAGAAGAAATATACTTTATATTATATTTATAATATTTATAGTATATTTTATATTATATTTATATATATATATATATAATATTCAGACAAAAAGTTTATGAATGATTTACTAGGCCAGTAGACGTTCATTAAACTTCAAATAATTATCTTGTTATACGATTAAAAGTCATTTTTTTCAATAAACTTTGATAGGTAAAAGTTTAGAAGATTATTATGTAAGATATATATTTGACTTTTTATATTCTTTTTTTGACACATAAAAAATCATAGTTAACAATCTTAAATAATTTACAACTGAGACAGTTATCTTATTCAAACATTTTTTAAATTACATAAATATATGATCTTGCAAAGTTCAGCAAATGTCATTTTTAGAGAAATCAATTTCAACCAGAAATAAACAATATCGATTCTCATCAATCAAGGTCAGTTATTTTGATTAAAAAAGTTTGATCCAATGGTATAATTCACATATCAAATTATGTCGCTGTATAATTGCATATCAAAAAGTAAGTATAAAAGCATTGATTCGCTTGACACAACATTACTATGAAATATACATGATAAAATTCTCCTTTTATAATTCTCACGATACGAATATAATCATATTTACTTCAAAGTATAATACCGATTATGAAGTTCATCAAGACAAATTATATCAGAAAACAGTAACTATATTATCAAGATAAACTGTACTGTTATATAAAAGATTCGATCGAATTAAAAATCTCTCGTTTTGATGTCTCTTCAGTGATTGCAGATAATCATCATACAATCACATTTGTTTAAATCAAATTGCATAAAATTCACATGATCAGGAAGTTCATGAAAATGATTCGACAGAGTACATTTACATATCAACAAATCCTATTCCGTTTGGTCAAAGAAGTTTGGTCATTGCGTCGTACTAAATTTCTCATTGGAAAAATGGCAGCTCGAATAGAAAGGCTGTTGGAGGGAAAATCTCGAATGGATCGAGGCTAAATACATATTTCTGTATCCTTGCGTAAAGTGACACAGAGACATAATCTCCTGGACGTAAAAAAAAAAATGATAATGCGATTGTAAAAGCTACGAGAGTTACGCCGCATTGCTGCTATTGCAGTCCTGTTATTTCGCTTTGCTAATTGGGACGGCGTGTAACATCGGACGATGATTCTTTTTTCCCTCCCAACGCGAGCGTTCCGTTGACTTGTTTTTAGACATGACCAAAAGGGATGACTTACTCATTCGTCAAATATGTACACAGTACCTTTTATACCTTTAGACAAATGCAGCAGAATATCTATATGTGGTAGGCATTGCAATACATCGTAGAAAATTTGTTACGATTAAATCACCGTATCTCTCTTCGTTTATACTTAATACGAGACGGAGAATACACTCTTGATACAAACAGAGAATTCGATTGTGTGTGAGAGCTTCTACTTTGTTAATGATTATTTGAAAATTTGATTAAGTTAATTGAATCACGTTTTCATGCAACACGTATTGTATTTTTAGATCAAAGTTGTATAGTTTTTGTTTTTTTTTTTTTTTTAGGTTAAAAGAAATTTGATTTTTGAAATATCTCACGACATTTAAAAATTGAAATGGCGACTCGAGGAAGCTCCGTGAGATCTTTTCCATTGTGTTTATATTCCACAATCATTTGCGGATATTAATTGTAAATAAGAGTAATCAGTCGTAATGCGTTTTGACATTGTGTCACAAGCCTTGCAAATGCAATCTTGGTGGTCGCTAGACTTGCGTAAAATGTAAAACCTAATAATGTAAAAACATTAAGAGAACATTATATATCATGTATACACGCGATCGCACATTCGTAATGGAAATTTACGGAAAATCGGAGATTACGCGCGTCGGAAAGACGCAAATCTATTATTATAGAGAACATATATCAACATTCTCGTGTTCGGATAATTTACGCTGCCTTTCCCGAGTAAATAATAAATGAGGAAAAAAAAATGTACGACGAACAAAAAGCGTTGAAGGATGTTTTCAAGCGCTGCATAGCGTAAACACTGCATAGGCATACATTACGTACTTACACGCAAAATTCATGTACACGCGACAGAGAAGTAAGATTACTTATACGTATTGTGTTCGACAACGATCGCACCTGGTTATTAGGCTCGTTCGCAGTCGATCGATCTATTATCATTAAGGCAGAAGACGAAGAGAAGAATATGAACTTATATCTCACATACACAGCCTGCATTTCTCCGAATGTACTCAATACTCGACTTGCCGCCTGATTTACAAAAGTCGATGTACAACGTTATCGTTTTATCCCGGTTTTAAATGTTTACTGTATCATAAGATTGTAATATAGTCGTTGGGCCAAATAAAGCTCGTTTTTCGATATAAGTACACACACGTGGACATGTGATTATTTCTTCTTGAGGTTGAAATATTTCTGAGAGAGCGTACATTATTCGGAAAACTAACGGAAGATTTGCATTATACAAAATTTCACGCATTATTAATACACGCTGTTTCTCTCTTCGTTCGCCCGAAAATCCATTTAATTTACTAAAACCACGTTACGCTTATGAAGGAAAGTTAATGGCACGCAAGCCGAGCTTCATCAATGTTGCAGAAGTAACTCGTCCTTTATTTTACATTGAAACATCAGGGAGGATTTGCGATGATTGCCAGAATGTCTCGCGTTGCTTTCAGAAAAACTTCGATACGCTTCATTGTTCCCTCTTCAAAATATTTCGTTCGCAAGAAATCTCAATGTAATTATTCACCATCATACTCGCTTGCAAACACACCGATCAGCAAGACGATTTCTAGACGAGAAGATGGAAGAAGAGATTCGTGTGCAAGTGGAAGACAACTCGCCTTCGATAGAGTACAGTTTACTTCCGCTATCGTATACTTCCTGGCTTCTGGGCGTCGGCGTTGCACGTCCGCGAAATTGTCCCAAGGCTGTCACGATAATTCTGCGTATCGTCCACTTCGCCGTGTGTTCCGCCATCGTGGCGTACGGCGCGATAGATTTCTTCACCTTCGGCAACGTCTTCAAGAGCGACATATTCAAGATCATGTATTACATGAACAAGGTGATGTGTTACGTGTCGGCGTATTATTACGTTTATCACGGCATCGGGCAATACAACAAGTGGCCGGAGCTGATGGACAGGATGAAGGAGCTGGATCAGAAGATCAGGAGAGAAACCCCCATGAACGACCGGCCCGTGAAAAATATGGAGGCGCTAGCTATTCTCATAACATTCGCTTGCGGCCCTTTGTCTCTAATCATACACGCCCTATATTATTATTTTACACGTCCTGAGGATATCTTTGCGTCTGACTTGCTGCTCTACTACACGATAGCCCAGTCGTTAATCAATAGCTTCATCTTCGACGTTGTCGTTTATGTGCTGTATCGTAGATTCCAAACGATAAATGAATTGATTAGCCAGTTGGATGAGTTATTTGGTGCACCATGGATCGCGCTCAAAATTAGACGCATCAGAGAGTTGCACACCGGTAAGTAGAATAAAAAAAAATCATACAAAAGTCAAGATGACGTCGAAATGATGGAATGACTGTAAATACTCATTTTTTTATTATAAAAAAAATTGTTGAAATTATGATTGTAGAACTTAGCATACTACTTTAAATATTTCGCAATAATATACACATTGTGTTCATAATTATGTGTTATATATATATTAATATTTAAATATTATATATATATATATATATATACGTGTATATGTTCCTTTTAAAAAAAAAATCATAATGAGAATATGACTTGTTATCACTTCGAGTACAATATTCTGAAAAGACTTTTATACTTTTCAAATAATTTCAATATATATTTAAGATATTATTAATACAGATGAGATTGTTAATATTATAAACAATGTTCTATTGATCATAATTGCAAAAAATATTTAAAAACAATCAAAAATATAGCTAAGATTATTTGCATTATTAATTAATTTGTAAGAATGAAGAAAATACGAATGTCTTATATAGATTATATGTTTATTATTATTAATATACAAAGTCATACACATTTTCGATGAAACTCATTAAAAAATTACAATACAGTCACGAAAAACTCAAATTACCGTTCGTTGAAAATATGAAATATTATCTTGACTTTTCAATGATATCGTTTGACGTCATTTTGATGTTATTTTGATCTTTATATATTTGTTCTACTTAGGTATACAGGTATTTTGTTAAACATTCTTGAAATATTCTAAATATTATTCTCTGAAAATATTATTTTGTCATTTTTATAGTAGAGCATTTAACGTATATGTAACGCTCAAGATGTAATTCAATATGCGGTTTACAAGAAAATTGCAATAATAATAACGAAAAATATTATCAAATTACAAATTTTGTTGTGCAGGAATTTGTGATCTAGTCTTTATGGTAAACGACGTTCATGGTTTTCAACTTCTCCTCTGTTCGGCAAATTGTTTTACCATGGTCGTAGCTACGCTATTCAGAATCTACATGGGCGTTGTGGAGAAAAACTACGCATTTATGCTTATAAATAATATTCTTTGGATTCTGTACGCTGCGCAATTTGGTTTAATGTGCTGGATTTGCACGCTCGCGCGTCAAGAATCCGACAGGACTGGAATTATTATATATGCAATTGTACTAAATTGCAAACCTGCAAATCTTAGTAAACTAAACAGTGTGAGAAATCGATTGAATCTAGAAGTACCACCACCATCGGAAGGCCTGGACGGCGAACAAAATTCCAATCGGAGTAGCAGCTATAATCTGAACTATGTCGTCATGGAAAATCTTTTACGCAAAAATTTAGACCGAGACTGTGTTAGAAACGAAGTCAATGATTTTTCGATTCAGTTGCAACAGCATCGTGTAGCGTTTACCGCCTGCAATTTCTTCGAAATGAATAACGCTCTGCTCAGTGGTGTAAGTACATAATCATTTATTTTAATTTCTCTTTCAAATTACAATAATAATTACCAAAGCAATTAATTCATTTTTCAGTTTGTTGGAGTGATCACTACTTATCTAATAATCCTTGTACAATTTTATCGACCCGAAAATCCAGATGCGCAATTTAATGAAAAACATTGAGAAAAATTAAGGTAAAGAAAGATAAAAAACATTAAATTGAGTAATATTAAATATTAATATTTATTATAACTTATCAGTAGATAACAATTTGTGATTTTCACAAAATAAAAAACTCGTTTTTACAATATAAATGTGTTAACTTAAATTAATAATACTATTGTTGAATGAAACGAAACGAAATGGAACGAAATAAAACGAAATTTGATGTAGTCAAAGTTGCGTGAGAAAAAAAACAAAAATACGTCGATTTTTTAATCGACTTCCTCGATGGTTGGCCCAGCACCACCGGAACCAGGATTGGCTCCTGCACCGCCAGCACCAGGGAAACCACCAGGGAAACCACCAGGCGCTCCGCCACTTTGATACAATTTTGTGACAATGGGATTGCAAATAGCTTCCAATTCTTTCTGCTTATCGGCGAATTCTTCCTTCTCCGCTAATTGATTGGCGTCTAACCAGGAAATGACCTCGTTGCATTTGGAAATGACTTTCTCCTTGTCAGATGCATCGATTTTATCTTTAACTTTGTCGTCTTCCATTGTACTCTTCATATTGAAGCAGTACGACTCGAGAGCGTTCTTGGCAGCAATCCTTTCTCGTTGCTGTTCATCTTCCGATCGGTATTTCTCGGCTTCGTTCACCATCCTTTCTATGTCCTCTTTCGATAAGCGACCCTTGTCGTTGGTAATCGTGATCTTATTTTCTTTGCCGGTAGATTTCTCAATCGCAGAAACGTTCAATATGCCTAGAAAACAAAATGTAAAAACATAAATTATAAAAAACGTTAAATGAATAATGATTAAATCAAGTAATATTTTCGATTTAAAACTATTAATTATTTATTTGTAGTATCGCAACCTACCATTGGCATCGATATCGAAGGTAACTTCAATTTGCGGCACACCCCTAGGCGCTGGAGGTATTCCTGTTAGTTCGAATTTGCCAAGGATATTGTTATCCTTGGTCATTGCTCTTTCTCCCTCATAGACTTGGATAAGCACTCCCGGTTGATTGTCAGAATATGTGGTAAACGTCTGGGTCTGCTTTGTTGGTATCGTCGTGTTCCTCTTGATCAAGGTGGTCATGACACCGCCAGCGGTCTCAATACCCAATGACAACGGAGTTACGTCCAGCAGAAGCAGATCTTGGACTTCCTCGGATTTATCACCGTGTAGAATAGCCGCCTGAACTGCTGCGCCATAAGCGACGGCTTCATCTGGATTGATAGACTTGTTCAATTCTTTGCCGTTGAAGAAATCTTGAAGTAACTTCTGGATCTTTGGTATTCTGGTAGAGCCACCGACTAGAACGATGCTGTGAACGTGAGCCTTGTCCATCTTTGCGTCCCTAAGCGCCTTCTCCACGGGTTCAAGGGTGCTCCTGAACAAGTCGGCGCAGAGCTCCTCAAATCTGGCCCTGGTGATCGACGTGTAGAAGTCAATACCCTCGAACAACGAGTCAATCTCAATGCTTGCCTGCGTCGATGAACTTAACGTTCTCTTCGCTCTCTCGCAGGCAGTCCTCAGACGTCTCAAAGCCCTTTTGTTGATGCTCAAATCTTTTTTGTATTTCCTCTTGAACTCTTGTACAAAGTGATTCACCATTCGATTATCAAAGTCTTCGCCACCGAGATGTGTATCGCCGGCTGTAGACTTCACCTCAAAGATACCATCTTCAATAGTCAGGATCGACACATCGAAGGTACCACCGCCCAAATCGAAAATCAAGACATTTTTCTCTCCTGCAGTTTTCTTATCGAGACCGTACGCTATCGCGGCTGCCGTAGGCTCGTTTATTATTCTGAGAACATTCAGGCCAGCAATAGCGCCAGCATCCTTCGTTGCTTGCCTCTGAGAATCATTGAAATAAGCTGGCACAGTGATGACGGCATTTGTTATAGTTTTGCCCAAATATGCTTCTGCTGTTTCCTTCATCTTCGTCAGGACCATGGAGGATACTTCCTCGGGGAAGAAGGTCTTCATCTCACCTTTATAAGACACCTTGATTTTTGGCTTGCCACCATCATTGACTACTGTGAACGGCCAATGCTTCATGTCACTTTGTACCGTTGTATCGTCGAAGCGACGACCAATCAAGCGTTTTGCATCTGTGCAAAGAAAAATGATAAAGACTTGTAAGTTGTCTATTTTTATAAAAATTATTTTAGAAAGTAAAAAGAATACGATGCGATAAAAAGAGGATCTTGTGGATTTTGCCGGATTATGAAAAAAATTATAAAACTGAATCGTCGCCATTATCAAAAAATAAAAATATTCAATGCTTATACTTCACTATAATTCATAGGTAAGAAAAAATTATGAAATAATTTATTACAAATTTTGCAATAATCATAAAGACTTTAAAAAATTTGTAAAATTATATATGTGTGCGTGTGTATATAATATATAAAACAATTATATATGTATATATAATTTATTTATTTAAAACATAATTATCTGATACGTAATATCGTATGATTCGCGCGCGCGCGCGCGCGCGTGTGTGTGTGTGTGTGTGTGTGTGTGTTCGTTGGTTGCATAAAAAGTTAAATAAATATCTTACATTGAGTAAGAAATATCGCATGAGTCACAATCTGATTTATGATTTGACGTAAATATATGAATGACATTGGTGGCTGGCACACAAATTAGGATTACATAAAACTGCGCCGTATAAACGTCAAAACACCCGGCAACAATGTAGAGGATGGAGACGGGCGGACGAGGGAAGGAAAGAATTACGTGTATTACAAACGAACGCTAACATAGTGACATGCGCGTTGTGCAAGGTTACTGCAAGTAAAGTTGCAGCAAAAATATGATTGAGATAATCAAATTTCGAGCACGCAAAGTTTTTCGATCGATTCCAAGTTTCAATGTCAATCTTGTTCAGTCATGTAATTTTTCATGTTTAAAAAATCAATATGAGATTTATAGCGTAGATTCATCGCAAAATATTAATAAATGTTTTATTATTATTATGTCTTATTGAAATTGCTTGTACGTAATATTTCATTATCATCGAATATTCTCGATATTCGAAGAATTCACAAAGAGATTCGATTGCTACATTGTTCTTGCAATTGATAAGATTCAATTTAGTATTAAAATGATACAATGAATTAAATATTGAAACAGTAGAAAAATCGATAGACACTACGCAAAAGGTAAAGCATCGATGATTTTATCAGGGCGTCTTCCAATGCAACTATGACGCAATAAACGATTGCTAGCATGAAAGAGTCCCACTTACCGAAGATAGTGTTGCTGGGGTTCATGGCGACTTGGTTTTTCGCCGCATCGCCGATCAGCCTCTCGGTGTCGGTGAAGGCAACGTAGCTTGGTGTGGTTCGGTTGCCCTGATCATTAGCGATGATCTCAACCTTCCCATGTTGGAAGACACCCACGCACGAATACGTGGTGCCCAGGTCAATTCCAACTGCTGGTGCTTGCGACATCGTCAGTTTTCTCTCGTTTCCTTAGCGGTATTGACAGTAATCGTGCACTGAAAAATGCAATAACACGATAAATAAGTGCGTCACAATTAATAAAAAAACAATTTAATTGATCGGAGCGATCGAAGTTACTCGAATTAATGCAAACCTTGCGCTCGAAATCAACGCAATAAATATTTACGTCATTCACTTCTTAAATTTCTTTAAAGCTAATTGTTGATACGCTCTTTTGAAAAATGCATCTTCAAATGTGCAGCTATCATCAAAAGGGATTGTTAAGATAGAGTACTGAAGTTGTGCAATTGCTATTCATTAATAACTCGACAACTTCGGGCTCTTTGAAGTTTGATCGCTTGTTGCGTCATCCTTTTCCGAGATGCACAATTAGAATATCACAATAGATTATCGTCCGAAGATAATTCTTTTTCAATTTTAATTATTTATCTCGAGTGCGCAAACAATTTTACTTTTATATAAGAAAATAACGATGAAAACGATTTGCGAGAGATTAAAATAGAAATAAAAATAAAAAAAATCTTAACGTCAATGTGAATAATTCGCGAAGTGATAATTATTTCACAAAACACTATTTTATTGAAGCACTCACCTTGTGCAGTAATTTTTCTAATACACAATTCGCAAGTCGACACTTCTCGTCACTTTTCACACTTACACTCTATTGCGTTCGTTGCGAAACTGATGAGGTGATTTCGCGCCGCGCTTTTAATATCGAATCGCCCGTTTCGAGAAGCTTCCGCGGATGACCAATCAGGGCGAGATTTCATGAGCTTTGGGACGTTTCCATTGGCTGATGCGCTGAACTAGGAGGAAAAGGAAGAAACGACGCAAGTCGAAGAAAGAGAAGAGAGAGAGAGAGAGGAAATTGGAACATAGAAGATACTGGAACACAAATGTTGCCTGTGCTAAAAGATTCGCAGCTATAATTAGTTCCGTGCGAATCGCATGCATCTCGTCGGGATATACCAAATTTTTGAAATAAAAACTTTGTCCACTGAAATGCATCGATTAATTGTGCAATCGGAAAGTGCGCGATGCAACTCTTCGCGCACTTTCCAGAAAACGCGCGACCATTCTGTCAAGGTGAGTACGTTGCGTGAAGAAATCTCGGGCATATTCGAGAACATTCGAGAAAATGCGAGATTTGTCCGACTATATCGGACCAGAAGTTTCATTATGTCTGCATAACGTTCATTTGTTTTTCCGATCTTCAGTTTCAAGTTCTTCGGTATCTCTTACGATGATAAAAATCGTCTTACGATGATAAAAAAATGTAACTGAATATTATTGTAGACAAGCATGATATATTGTAGTAGGTGACATATCATTATTACTATTAACTCAGTATTCTTCTATTACTAATAACGAGAATTTTTAAATATTTACGATAAATCATACACGCATTTTGAGGCAAATAACACTAAAAGAACCAAACAATTATTTCTAATCATTTCTATTTTTTAAATTAACACTTTTTACATATTAAATGCAATTTTCGTATTTTCTCGATTTTTACTTTTTTTAGTTTAATGAAATATTAAAATCAGAATATTTTAAAAGCTTTTCTTTGATAATTAAAAAAATATTAATAAATCTTTGATAATTAAAAAAATATTAATTTAAAACCATTTAAAATAACTGCTTGATATGTATTGTATTAAATAAATTTTTAAAATTTAGTTAAAAGTAAAATAAATTTAAATAAAATTAAAATCAAAATTTTTTGTTAAAGTAATAAAATTTCAAAATTCAGCGTATTCTAGTCTAACTCACTAGCTCTTTTTTTAGCTATTTGATTTTTAATTTTCTCCGTCTTTCTCTGTTATTTATAATTTTAAATAAATGTACACAATCGGAAATATATTTAATATATATTTAATATATTTAATATATATATATTTAATATTAAATTATTAAAATATATATTTAAACATATTTGATAAAAACAGATAGCAGACATTTTCCTAATAGCATATTTTGAGTATTTCAAGGATAAAGTAGATATATTAGATTTAGATATTATATTTCATTCATATTTAAGATGTCCAATGTACATATAAAAAAAATCGTTTTTATAAAAAAAAAAATATATATATATATATAATATACAATTTTGTTAATTATAATATGCAACCTGAGTATTCCTAAGAATTAAATATATTTAGTATATTTCTTTTATTATATATATATATATATATATATATTGAATGTAGACATATTCCTCAGATAATAAAAAACAACACCATTTTCAATATAGTTTTTATATATAATACATATCTCGAATATATGCAAAGAATATATACAATTTATTTTGTAATATTTTTCGACATTTTTTAGAATATATATTCAGAATGTAGCAGAATGTGCTATTAAAATTATTGTTAATATACTCGAAAGAATTGCTTTCAAATTTTTAACTATACATTAAATCGGATCTCCTAATTTGATCTTTTCTTTTGTAACAGTTAAATGTAAATTATTAAATACACAATTATTAAATTCTTAAATACACTTTTTATTTTTCTTTTATATTATTTAGATATTTAGATATTCTTTTTTTTATTTTTATACATTATATATGATAGGCGTTTAAAAAGTTTAATTCGGTCAGTCAAGGATTGTGAAATGTCGTATAATCTATTTAAAGATCGTCGTAAAATATTCCAAGCGATTCTAATTTAAGCTTTATTGAATATATAATAAAAATAGTCATTCCCAAGATAACGCTTAACAGAAATTATAAGTGGTGCCGTCTAGAGAAACTAGCTGCAAACTTGATGATATTATTAACTCGACAGAAGATTACGAAGATAACTAACTTTACTCACGGATAATTAAAGAATTTTCGTTCGATATTTAAAAGTGACAAACTCTAATTACAGTTAACAATCAAACAATATCTGTAATATTTTATTAAAATAGAATTATTGATTTTTTACCTCTTGATATAAAAGAACAGATCAAAGGATGACAAATTAAAACAATTACAAAAATGTTTCTGTAAACAATTCTGCTGACTGGATTAATCGTTCACTAATTTACAAAATTATAGAAAAATCGGACGAGAAAGCGTTATACTAACGCTGCAATGCTATTTCCCAATTTTAAATAGTATGCGAGGTAAGCGAGGTAATTTTTAAACGATACTTTATCGGTGACAGTAACTTATTCGTGCGATAATAACGATCATTAATTCATCCTCTTTCTATCGCAACTCCGAACGGCCAATCGTGAGCGTCCCATCGCCCATTGGTCGACCGACTTGCGGCCGTTCGTCAACGAGATAAGCTAGCCTTCCGCAGCCTTCCTGTCCGGTTACAAGCTGTCATGTAGCTGATCATTCCGGATTCCTGATTGTCAACAGTGCGTTGCGAATGCCATCGCGTGGAACGATACATACGTGCAGTATGTGATACCATCGAGGAAAACGGTGACGCATTCACGCACCCACGGACGACGCGACTTCGAGAGCCTCGACGCTCTGCACTTGTAAACATTAACGTGTAACCGACACGCGCGCACACCGTGGCATATGTACCAGCGGGTCTTTCGTTATGAATGCTTAGTAAGTATCTCCTCCACTCTCTCTTTCTCTTCCGAGTCCCGTTGTGCCATACCTCGAGCCTCGTCGCCTCGCCAACGAAGCGGAACGAGGACTCGCGACGGGAACACGGCAATCCGACTATTTCCCGTCCAAAACCAGAGCTAGTTATTCTGAATCAATATGGTAGTTTGCATTTACTTACGTTATTAATAGATATCGCGCGAGATTGATTATTTAACTTTTGCTTTAATGGGTCTCCTAGATACCTATCTTAGAATATAAAGAAAGAGTCTATTTCCTAGTGGTCTATTTCCTTCTTTCCTCTTCCTGTATGATTGATAAGTTATCTATGTTTGCTAACTTCTCTCTGTTCTGTTGAACGAAGGAGATACATATATTTGCAATGTCAGGATTTGATAAAAATATTTAATATCAATGAAAGATGTCTATTGTTTCGTGAATGCATGTAATTTCTTTTATTAACAATGGGAAAGTATACTGCATTTTTTATTGAAGTCTGCATATCCTTATATTAATCACTGTTGCACTTAACAAGAAATTTACAAAACTTATTTATACCATGCATGCAGTAACAGAGGTGCATCGGGCATATCAGGGAATGCCTTTGATTGCTGGGTTCAAAAGTCTATGCATGACGATTCTGCCATTATAAAGATGCAATACCAATTTTGGGTGAGAAAGCAGGCTTTGTCCCAGAAATTAGGGAAAAAGGAGGACGAGTGCATAGTTGCCTCGGACGCTGAGCTGGATGCAAAACTCGAATTGTTTCGCAGTATCCAAGAATCCTGTTCCTACTTACAAAGGGTTATTGATAAATATCAAGAAAGATTATGCAGTGCGTTCTAATACAATACCTAATACTAAACAATTGTATCTTTTATCATTAATATGTTATAACAAATAATAATACAACAAATAGATTTAACTATTGAAGAATAGATTGAACTATTACAATAATTAAAATTGTTTAGATCTAGCCCAAGAAGAAAATGGAATGGGACGTTTCTTGAAAGATGCCGGGAAACAAGACAAAACTCGAGCCGGCAAGATGATGTCAACCGTTGGCAAATCCTTATCCTATTCTGGTCAGCAGAGGCTTGCATTGAGAGCCCCTTTGAGCCGATTGTATCAGGAGGTAGAAACATTTAGACAAAGAGCTATTGAAGATACGTTACAAAATGTACAAGCAATGGAAAAAGCCCGCACGGAATATCGAGCAGCTTTGTCATGGATGAAAAATATTTCTCAAGATTTAGATCCAGATACGTCCAAACAACTTGAAAAATATAAAAAAGTTCAAGCACGTGTCAAACAGTAAGTTTCACATTTTGCATATTTATTTATGCAAAGTTATTATGTAGATTTAATTAATCCTGCTATTACAATTATTGTATTATTAACATTAGAAATAAAACAATTATTTCTGATTATTTTTAATTTTAATATCTATTTATTTAAATTAATATCTTTTTTCTCAAATTAAAGATTGATTTTGGAATTTGTTAACCTATTAATTATTTTTTTTGTTTCGATCAAATATTAGAGTCAGAAATTGTTAAAAATCTTATATTTGATACTGAAAAAATATTAATAAAATAAAAAATATTAAAAAAATAGAAACATTAAAAACTAATTACTTAAGGAGTTTTTAGTGTTCAATAGGATGTAGTTTTGTCTTTATTCCTATAATTAAATTACGCGTTAAATTCAATTATGCGTTCAATTATGCGTTTAAGATATTTCAAAAAATATATATCTAATATATTTATTGTTACAATTCAGGGGCAAAATGGTTTTTGATAATCTGGCCTTCGACTGTCTTCAGAAGGTTGATTTGTTGGCGGCAGCAAGATGTAATATGTTCAGTCATGCCTTAGTTTTATATCAAACCACACTCTTGAATTTTACAAAGAAGTCTGCACAAGCGTATGCTACGATTGCCAACAGCTTCAAAGGCTATCAACGTTATGACTTTACAGTTGTGCGAGAATTGGCTGAAACTTCCAGTAAATTGGCACAAGAGACTGGTGGAGATAACGATCTGGACGACAAGGATAAGTAAGTTACGAAATAAGACTAAACATTATATCATTATTTTCATCATGACATCGATTTTTATAGATTACAATTTTTCGACATGGATTATCATGATGATGTTGAAGAGGCTCAAGAAGCAAATTCGGAAAGCACATCAGAGAAAAATAACAAAGATGAGAAATTATTGGATATAGAAAATGATCCAAAGGATACGTTGATACATTTGGATACAACCACAAATTCCTCGAGGAACGGAATCGTGCTTAATACCAAAGATACAGAAAATGATAGAAGTCTCGAAGAGTTCTTCGGAAACCTCATTTTGGAGAAAGATGCGTCCAATAGTACTGAACAATCGGTTAATACAACCGAAAAAAATAATCACACTGCATTCAATAAAAACTCCGAAGAGCAGAAATTAGCAATGGATATATTTGGGGAGTGCAACACAGATTTTAATTTGGCTGATTTGTCTCCTTTGTCATCGGAAACTCAACAACAGCAATCGTTAAATCTGTTGGTTTCCGAAAGCACAGCGCTTTTCGACGAAATCTTGAATGATAAACAACAATGCACGAATAATGACTGGGAAGGCATATCAAATGATACTTTTCTACCGCCAAATATTTTAAAACAGAGTCTAGGAGATGCGGCGCTCGGTATGGGACAAAAGAGTACCACCAGTAACACAGATGACAAAGTAAGTATTGCTGAATTATGTTTGATATTAATACAGAAAAAGATCTTGCGCAATTAATATATCATAATATTCTTTCTATAGAAAAAGAATAAGACTGGAAAGCAGAAAGGTAACTCGTGGTTGGATTTATTCGCAGAATTGGATCCATTGGCTAATAATCCAATGGAGAATCTTTCCGGTGATAGTAACGCTTCTGCTTAATTCGTAATACATTTTAATAGTATCGCCCTGTCACTTGATATTTATAACAATAAGAAAAAAAACTGATCAAGCTATCGTTTATTATTAATGAATGATATCAGTGAGCGCATAGTTCACAATAGTTTCACTTGATACGTATATATCAGTGACCAATTTGTAAACTTTTCAATTCAACATTTCAGATTTATTTTTAATAGAATCGTCATAAAAATCAAAACTATTTGAATTATATAATTTTTCACATAAGCTAAAGACGGATACCAAAGATATAAATGTAATGTTTATTGAACATTA